GATGCCAGCTTTATCCATGTTCACACACTGAATACACAGATTTAAGAAGCATTTAGCAGTCAGATACCACAGCTGCACTAAAGCCTTTTGGCTCGTGACCCTAATAAGGTGTGATCATAAGAAGAGGTGTGATCCTTCACTGAGAGTGTGAAACCACACTCCACCACTCTGACCCAAGACTGAAATATCTCAGCAACTACTGAACATTTTGTCCTGAAATGTACCAGAGACATTTATGGCTCCAGCAGGATGAATCTTAATGACTGTGGTGGTTGTTTAAGCAATTGTCGTTACATTTTTTCCCCCTCCTCAGAGCAAATTCTCACAGGTTTGATAAAACCTTCACATAATCTTTTGGACAGTACTTTTGTTTTATGACTGCATATCATCAAAACTCATAAAACTCCCCTAAAGTAAACATTCCTGCTGATATTGGCATGTTAGTAATGTTATTGTGAGCATGTTAGACTGCTGATGTTATTATTTCCCTTGTCTATGTTCAGCCTCAGGTGGCTCGGTGGTTAGCACCGTTGCCTCGCATCAAGAAGGTCGCTAGGTCGCGTCCTGGTGAGGACACCCGGGATCTTTCTGTTTGCATGTTCTCCCCGTGCAGCGTGGGTTCTCTCCGGGTTCTCCGGCTTCCTCCCACAAGGTCCAAAAACATGTTGAGGTTAATTGGTGATTCTAAATTGTCCGTAGGTGTGAATGTGAGCGTGCTTGGTTGTCTGTCTCTAAGTGTGGCCCTGTGATAGACTGGTGACCTGTCCAGGGTGTCTCCTGCCTTCACCCTGAATCAGCTGGGATAGACTCCAGCCTCCTGTGACCCTAGTGAGGATCAAGTGGTGTATAGATAATGGACGGATGGATGGATGGATGTTCAGCCTCACAGAGCTGCTAGCATAACCGTAGATTTTCAGTGTTGTTTGTTGTTCACTTTTATTTTGCAACTGAAATACGGAACAGATCAGCTTTATTCCTGCACGAGCAATGTTTCCTTGTCAGTTGAGAGATGATTTTGGTCACCTTTATCCAGACTACTGCAGATTTCCACTCAGGCTTCAATCTGATGCCACAGAAACAAGAAAACCCTTTGACACAATTTCAAATGAATACAGTGGCGACTTAAATCCTCACCATTCTTTATTTTATTTTATACTGTGCAATTTGAGTTGGTGGAGACAAAATCTAAGTTTTCTAAGTTTTTGGAACAGTTTTACAGGCGATTTCCTGGCTAAAGATTCCGAGCACTTTATGTTCTACACACCTTCGATCAGTAACTACCTGAAAAGGGCGGTGATGCTCTATTTTCATCCCACGGGCATGACTGTTGTCTGCAAAGTTGTTCGGGGAAGCAGCCATTGAGTGCTTTGAGTGCTAATGGATCTGCATTGATAAACCTTTGTGGGAGGGCTGGGACAAATATTGATTAGAAATCTACATGGAAGCTCTCAGAGCAGTTTACAACAAGAGGTGCAGTAGGTCTGGTTTTGAATGTTCGTTTTGCCTTTTTCTCGTGGGAAACATTTGAGACACTGCAAGAGTTTTCTCAAACTGATCCCAAAGGATCAGGAAGCCATACAGGAAGGGATGTTTTCAGGAGAAAGCAACAACAGCACAAGCACGCCATTTAAAATATCTTTAATCATTGGATAAGCTTGTATAATTTACATACTGCATAATATAATTCTACACATCAATGAAAGTCATCAGTTAATTGTTTTAACATTTTCACTTTACAAAGAAAAAAAATAACTCTTTTTCTCTGAACACACTGCATAACAAAAAGAATAAAAATGTATCGTACCATGAAAATAAAATAAAATAAAAAAACACACATATTCCACTCACTCAAGCAAGATATCGATTCAGCTGATCCAGTGAACTGCAGTCGATCTCTGTGGCTTTTAACGTGCAACCCTCTGTGTTAAGTTTTGGAGCTGGTTCAAAGCCCAGTGTGCACTCAGGCTGGTTTGTTTCAATTCGCTTTCATTTCTTTGAACAGTTTGAGATGCGAACAAAACAAACACTGGGATTAAAATATAAATAAGATTCAAGAAAAGGAAATGCTGTCAGGTACCTGGAGACCCACGTCAGCCACTGGATGAATTGTGCTTGTGTGTGTGTGTTTGTGTATGTGTGAGAGGAAGGAAGAAAAACAGCAGGACGCTGGGAGTCGAGGCTCCCTTCACGCTGTGTGCTGCTTCAGCTCACTGTTTATCCCTCTGCTCTGCCTCCAGGGAGACGCAAACCAGCCTGAGCTTCTCCAAAATGGGCAAAAACTTGCCAGCAAAATGGCTCTTGACAGCATTTCAGGTGGCGAATAGAGAGAGTGTGTGAGCTGTGTACTACTGCTGAGCAGAGCAGCAGAGAGTGTGAAAGAAAATCTGTGATAAAAGCTGCAAAGGAAATGAAAAACCTGGTGTAAAATGCTGACACTAAATGAGCATTAATTTGCGATTTCTACCTCTCAAGGACGCTCATCTCGGCCTTTGAACGGTTTATTTTAATGCACTAGAAAAGTGTCGAGCCCATCAAAATTTTGGATTCATAATGTGCTGCAAGTCAGTGATTGACTTTTTTGGACTCAACCAGCAAAAGTGCTCGTTTTTAGTACATCGCATGACATGTTTAACTTACCTAACTCACATTCTGAGATGTTAAAGGCAATAAGACATGAGAGGTAATAACTATTTAGTCTGTGTGACTTTAATTTAATTACCATTATCTCACACTACAGCACAAAGTCACAGTGCCTTGCTGATTATAGTGATAATGGGAGGGATCCTTTAATGTAGCTAACAACTTTGTTAAAAGGTAATTAATCAATGACTAATGCTTTATAGATCACTTATAAATATTTCTATTTGGAATCATTAATCCTATCAGTCACACTGCTCATGTTTTCCTCTCTTAAAAACTTTGGTTCAACCCGAATTCTAGAAATAATTGGTCAAATAATTGAACCAAACAAATGGATTATTCCAAATCTCTCAAATTCTCTTAATTAATTCTAACTGATCCGCAAAGCATTAGTAATTAAAAGAAAACATTAATTTAGCCATCAGTTGCAACTGTAGCCAATAAAATGCCACCTTGAAACCTGTGATCAGCATTAATCAGGCGTTTCATCCCACCTGCCGTCATCCAAAGTGCACCGCTACGCCGCCAGAGCACTGCAGTAAACACAGCCTCCCGCAGCCTCTCCAGCCGAAGCCTGCTCGACCTCATTGTCATGGCAACCGCGTTCACGTGGATATCCACTCGTCTATGTAATCACGCTGTTTGTCTTGTGCCCAGAATAGCCGGAGGGTGCAGGCACCTGAAGCCAGCGCAAACACATCTGATAAATCCTGGACATCGACAGGAGAGAACAGAAGGGTTCTAAGTAGCCAATCTTTTATTTAACTTCCCTCCTTCTACAAACTACAAAGTGAGGAGACACTTCTTTTGACCGAAAGGTATTTTCCACAAGCTTTCCAGAATCCAGGAACACTTCCCCCCTCCTTTCTCATGTATGCAGCAATTATCATGACTCTTTTGAAAACAATCAGACCACAAGCAGCTCCTCCTGGCACCTCCACCGTCAGCACTCATTACATCTCTGCCAAGGAGGACTTTAAAACTATGCTCATGTCCAAATTTAAACCTGCACGCCCCCAGTGAAAACACATTAAACCATCATGGGCCACAGTATATCTTCAGAAAGACACACTATAGCTTGATGTAATGTGTTTTACAGGTTTGTTCCCTGCACTAAAATGTAGTTTTTTTCCCCACATGCCTCAGCTAATTTGGAAAGAAAACCACAAACTAGCAGAGCAGACTTTTTTTTTTTTTTTTGGCATGCAGGGTTGCTTTACAGCCAACACATATGTTAAAAAGGCAGGAGGCTTCACATGACTTCATGTCTGTACTGTGGTTGGACGCTATAGCTGAGTTCAGATAGATAGATGTTCTACTTCTATTCGGAGAAGAAAAAAAATGTGGAGGGAAAAGGGGGCCGCCGCTCGTCCAAGTGTTCAAGGTCGAGTTTGAGCTCACTTTTCCTCGCTCGTCTCCAGGACTGGCCTGCAGTCGCTATTTCTGCGGTGCCGGCTTTATGGTGCTGTCTCCAGCGAGAGGGCATTGTGCGCGCATGATGTGTGTGTTGGCACGGACCGAACGTTTCCACCAGGCCAGTGTGGTGGTGGAAAGTAGGATGAAAAGACAGGCAGTGGGAGGAGAAGAGGAAACACTTCAGTGGCTCAAACAAATAGAGATGCTGAGTTTAACATCTCACTGTAGCCGCACAGAGAGGCGGATTTCTTTACACCGAAACCCGACAGATTCAAATTGGCTGGCTGGAGTTGACTCAACATGAAGCGGTCGACTCTTTGTCCATCAATTAAAAATGTGCTAAACCCTTCCCTGCCAACGACAACCGTCAAATCATAGCTTGGCAACACAATCCTCGACACGTCTGGCCAACTTGTTTCTTACCCACAGTACAGAAGTGACTTACTTCAAGGGTTAGAGGTTACATGCGAAAGCCCTGTTTACACCTAACACGTCCACCATGAACAATTTTCCAAATGTGCAGCAGTCTGATATCAGAGTGTGTCTCTGTTCTAAGCTTTGCCCTCCAGCATCTCCAGCCAGTGTTATCCAGCCTCACATCCTCGAAGCCTTTTGTCTTGTAAAGCCAAAATGGAAAAATACTGTTTGGAAATAGTGTTCTGTATGTAAACTAAGCAGTATCTTTTTTTTTTCTGTCTCTACACTTCAGCTTGCAAACAGTGCTGTTCCTTTATTCCTCTTTTTTTTAAACTACTACCTGATGAGGATGCAGTTTGTTGCCAGACACATTACATCAGTCTGTTAGCTTCGTACCATTTATAGTCATCGAGTGCAAACCTAGAACTAATTTTACCAGTTTTTTTTTCTTTAAAAATGAGTAACTCGTATCATTAAAAAGTCAGCTGACGCGATGATATCGACTCAGTGAGCTACAGCACAGATGATTAAATCAACAGCTGTGGTAGTTTTTATTTCAGAAAGGCAAAAATCAACAGTTGGATGGGAAGGAGAAGGAAAATGTAAAGCCTTAAGGACACGATAAGCCACAACTTGTCTACTTCTGCTTAAAAACATGGACCCGAAAGTTAGTAAGATTTGCCAAACTGCCATTGTTGTCACTGCAAACTGTACATGCGAGAACAGAGAACTTCACCAGTGTTGCAACAGCATTAAAAATGCATCAGTTGGGTGGTTCAGCTATGAATTTACTAAGTTGTTTTGTTGCAATGCATCAAGTTGATGAAAGTCTAAGGATGCAAATAGACCTGGACTGATTATACTTAACTGAAATGTGTCAAATACCACTTTTATTTTTGGCAGCACTATTAAAACTCTCATAAGTTTGAAACAATTCCCAGCACTGACAGAGAATGAGCTCATTAGGGTCATATTTACCTTTTAGCAGGAGCTTCTTTTTTTTTTTTTTTGACAATTTATACTGAAGTATAAACAGTCCAGATTATGTAATATGTTCCCCTCGGTTTACCAGATGTGTTGCACTATCCCCGCACCATTAACATGACTAACTGCAGGCTGCTTGGAGGTGTAGTAACGCTGTGATGAATGAGCCAAAAATGTTTGAAAACCTTTGGGACTCGTCTATTCTTATTCAAACCTGACAGGCCAGCTGTGCTCAGGAAGGCAGTCAGCATCTGTCTCTCACACACACACTCACACACACACACAGACACAGACACACACCATTTCCTCGTCAGTAGTGTTGTCGTCTATTGAAGAGCAGACATTATTATTAGATTTCATTTGCTGAGAGGAGGCTGCTTATGTAAGCCGGCAGACAGGCTTTTGAGAAATATTGCTTTTCTTCTCTGATTGTGTTCGGCCTTCCACGCATTTCCCACAAATCAACCAATAAAGCTTTCAGCACAAACGCATGCAATACCCGCCCGGCCAACATAACACGTTTACCAGGCGATACTCGAGAGCACACAGACTATTGGTCTAGACGTTTGTACACGCAAGCAAAGGCCAAGGAGGAGGCAAAAAAAATAAAAAAGATAAAATCAGTCAAAACACTCAGATTATCAGAACAACAGTGCAGTCATCTCATCAGGGGAAAATACAGGCATATGTAGTTTAGGTTTACACCAATCAGGCACGACATCTGCTTAAAAAAAAAAAGAAAAAAAAGAAAACTAATACAGGTTTACCAGAACTGAGAAGAAAAATATTCAGCCATATTCAGAAAAAACTGCCTACAACCAGTCACAATTAATACCTGATGCACAGAGCAGCTGTACTGCGATTCAGCAAATATACAATATTGCAAATGGTTGGTTAAGCAGTGAAGATATTAGCTCCACAAAGACACAAATGCTAACAGCAGTACATTATTTCAATGACCTCAGTGCTTCTATGTCATTCGTAGCATCTATTGCTGATCAGGGAAGTGTTTGCAGAGAAACACGCTCACAAATTTCAAAATACCATTTGTTAAATACTTATTTTTTCACTTTTTTTTTTTTGTTAATACTTTATCAAGTAATGCTGTCTGATGCCAGAAGGGTTTAGTTGCACTGTTCACGAATAAGGGGCTTTACAATAAATTGTATTTGGGACTGTAATGGGAGGCTGATTAAGGTGGATTTGGTTTAATACTATCAATATCACCATAAATGCAGTACATTAGGCTTCATCAGTGCTGTTGATTGTGGAGTTTGGCAGTCATTCACAACCTCTGGGTCAGGACCTCTCGAAAGGGTGCCAAGTATAAATCTGAGGATTAAAATAAATTCCCTGCTCAACTCACTTTTGGTTGTTTATTTTGTTTTGCTTCTTTTTCCTGTGAAATATTCTTACTTCTTCCAGTCCCTTTGAATTAAACAATCCAAGAAGCAAATTTCACTATCTGGTGAAACTACACACAATAAGGCCACAACCTGTAATAAGAGTGTGCAAGTGTTTCATTTTAAGGGGTGGAAACAACAAAAAAGGTTGAGAATTACTGGCATAGAGGATCCAGAAAGAGTTCAATAGGGTATATAGAGTAAGTAACTGAGTCCCAAAGCATTCCTTTTTGTAGAACCTCAGAGTAATTTTCTAGATAGTCTAAGAAAGTCAATTCAAAGTTAAAGTCAAGTCAAAGTTTAAATTTTCATTGGTTGATAAAGTACATGCCAAACTATCTGAAATCATGTTTCAGCTCTCTGGCAGATCATCTCACTGTGCTTTATTCTAAGGGAAATAAAATAAAATAAAATAAAATAAAATAAAATAAAATAAAATAAAATAAAATCAGGGAATGCTAAAAAGACCCTGAGAAAAACTATGACACAGGATTTTAAAACAGATTTTCCTACGTTTGTGTGAGGCAGCCCTGTTCGGCTAAATGTGGTCAAAATCCCGTCATGTGCATCCACCTTAATACTGACATCAATGTTTTATAGAAAGTTAGTGCAGTCACAGGAGGGAACAACACAACAAACACGTCATTGTCTTTCAAAGCCAGTGTCTTTCACCAACGAAAGCTTCACTATGTGCATTTGACAACAGCAGTTCGCTCTTCTTCTAACCTTCAGTGATCTGGTCTTCGACGCTGCAGAGGGAGTGTTCAATAGTGGCTTTAGTCCCCTCTGTGATTATCCTTCTTACAAAAACGTCACATCTTCTTGCGACTGCACCCAGCGCCAGTGAGCGTCATACTCCAGATGCATTTTACCGTTCATTTTGCATGTATCCAAGTCGATCTTTCCGTTTTTGTAAGGTTTGAGCTTGGGGCTCTGGTTGGTGCCCAGTTTCTCGCTGAGGTTCGAGCGAGTTGGGCTGCCCGTTTGTGTGGTTGGTTTCTCTAGGACACCATTAGCCTTAATGGCTTGCGTCTTGGTGCTGTCCTTAAAAACTGGGCTTCCCTTATCTGTCTCTGGAGCCTTGGTCCAGATGGCAGGGTCTTGCTTGGGGCCCTCAGACTTGGCTTGGGGAGAGCTGACGGGAAGCGCTGGTGTCCCAGCTCCGCCGGTCTCAGTCCCAATGACAGCACTGCTAACCCTGTTCACTGGTCCACCTCTCACCTCTGTCCCATTTCCAACCCCGATTCCATTCTCATTTACTACAGCTCGAATCCCATTTCCTGTACCAGACCTCACCCCAACGGAGGGTCCTGTCCCAGCTGCTGAGACCGTGGCCGTGCGGCTCCCAGCAGTGGCCTCCGAGACCAGCGGCGTGGTGGAGCAGATGACGGACTCCGAGCTGGAGGGACAGTACTCGTCCATGTCGTCCGCCAGGGTGTCCAGGTAGCTGCCGATGGAGATGTTGTCCAGCTTGTCATTGGGGTCCTGCAGGCTGCTCCAGGAGCCCCTCCAGGAGGTGTCGGGGCCCTCGCCCAGGCTGTACTGGCTGCTGGTCAGGCTGCTGCAGCGGCTGGTCAGCGTGCTGCGCTCCTCCAGCAGCCATTTCACTGCCTCGATGCCCTCGTGGACCGCCAGCAGCTGCTGCAGGATCTTCACGTCCACCGAGCGCAAGTGAGCCTGTGGAGACAAAAAAGGAGACATTGTGGAATTACAACTAACACACATGGTTATTTTCACTGCAGCCATGTTTTGATAGCGTGTAATGTGCAACAGAAAAGAAAAACTGTATACATGAGAACTAAACAGACCTTGAACCTGGACACTGCAGATATTTATTTAAAGCAGTCAGCTTTGGCTCCACAGACAAGTGCAAACACCATTACAATGCTATTAAACTATTGCGGATTACCATAACTGGAAGAAAGATAGAACAGACGCTGGCAGATTGAGTCTACAATACTAAAAATGGGAAACAAATAAAGTAAAGGTAGAGAAGACACAGGCTTACAGATGGAAATAACAAGGAAATCTGACCAACACTGACTCTGCAGGAGAAGGAAACTTGATACAGTGGAAAGTTTGAGACAGTAGAAAAGAAAATCAAAGAAAAGTTTCAAATTCTTTTAGTGGCTTTAAACTGCTGTTTAAATGCCCTGTGAAATTTATTTATTCAGGATGACATCTGGCAGAAATAAATAAAGTAATAATTACATCAGAAATAGCAGCAACTGATATCTTCTAATGTGATATGTGTGCAGGAGGTTGAAAAAGCTAAACGGTGAATAAGAGGGAAAGGACGACTGCGGTCATGGAAAATTCCTCCCCAGAATACATTCGCAGAGGTCTGCAGCGAAGTGCAGGACCACGAGGTGATATATGGCACCAGCATTCAAAGCTCAGCCTGACCATATCCACTAGTCTCTTTCAAAGCCTAAGCCTTTGATTTTTTCGGTGTTCCTCGGTTTTCTCCACGCATTCATTTTCCTCTTTATTGCTTTTCTCTTACTGTGAGCCGACAGACTGTCAGCATCTCATCTTTCTCAATCCTGCTGGAGCTCTGTTGTCTGGAATCACCATTTAAAGTGTTCAACTTTACAGCAACATATAGATATATTATATTTGCGTATTTTGTCTCACACATTCTGACCAAAACATTTTTAATATTTTATTAGATTTATGCAAGTATTTAGTTTTTTTAAACAGCATAATTAAGTCATATTTATGATTACAACTGAAATTTAAACTCGAGTAGAATTCAGATCCTTGACTTAAAAGTAGCAACACTACACTATAAAAAGTCCTTCACTCAAAATGTAAACATTTAAGTGAGACCTGCAATTAATATGTGAGAAATTGTATTATTCAGGAGAAAGTAGCCCCAGTGGGCTATTAATATACATTATTATTATCTTTAAGTACTGCAGTGTAGTTTGTCTAGCAGGAGACCTGTTAAGTATTTGTAAATGGCGGGGTATGGGTCGACCAATTAAAAGCCAACATAGCCAATAATTGGATCAGATTAGATCACCACTGCTTCTGACTATCCGTATCATTATTTTATTAAGACAATTCCCAATAAAATATATTAATTTCAACATGCACTACTTTGGCTGTGATACAGCTGCCTTTCTCTCTAAATAGTCCACCTATATAGTAAAGGCATTTTATGAGATATTTCACTAATCTGTCAACTATATTGTTACCAAACAATTTCTTCACCAATATGTTTGTAAAGGTGTGTAATAACATGTTTTAAAATGTTGAAGTTCAACTCCCGCGGGAAACTCTGAAAAAACCTGCTCAGGTTAGGGTACCGATAAACGATGGTCAAAAATCGATTTTTATTAAAATCAGCCTTCAGTAACTTATGAGGGTCAAATTAGGGATTTTTTCATGAGTCTGAGTTGATCGCTAGCATTTACATTTCACCACAAACACTCCATTGTTGAAAAAGGCCACACTCACATTTACATTTACATTCACAGGAGCTCTTATTTCACATACTTATATACTCTGAGTTATTGCTCATTCACAGTGTCAGAAGCTTCAAGAGTCATTGTCTATGTCTTCTTCAGACTCAACAACGTCATGACTGCAGTTTCTGCATGTAATGCCTTTACAGACTCCACAGGTGGAGATACACGTGACCCCATTCTTTTTGCAGCTGCACCGCCAGTTGCTGCAATCTCCATGACAATTACAGCTCGTGAACTTCAGTAGCTCCTCAGGAACCATGGGGCTTAGTGCTGGTACTGGCTCATACCCATGCACACCTAATGTCCATCCATAGTCACTGGGCTTCAGAGACATGCTCTGTAGAAGGATCCAGTCCACAGATAAGCACGGAGTGAATGCTGCACCCTCTGTAAGAGGTAGAGTCTCTAGTTTCATCACTCCTGCCGCCGCCTTCCTTGAGAACATGTTGTACCACATTTGAAACAGAAATACAATTATTATTATTATCATTATTTTTACTATGACGACAATAATGATGATGATGATGATTATTTGTCGAAGTAATAGCAGTATTATCATTATTACCTGTCAAACAGAGCTGTTTTCCCATAGCCAGCAGTTGCAGAAACCATGAGAGATTCTTCTTAACCACATCAAACAGCTCTTATGAAGTCTGAAAGCTCCAAGAATCTCTGTCTGAAAGATAGAAGGGCTATCTGCTCTTCTGTCATGCCTTCACAGGGTGTGATACGGTTTCTGCAATTGCTGGCCATGGGAACACAACTCTATTTGACAGGTAACAATAATAATAATAACAATACTGCTATTACTTTGACAAATAATAATAATAATCATCATCATTATTGTCATCACAGTAAAAATTAGGGCTGGTCCAAATAGCATTTTCTGTTCTCTGGATATCTGGCCCAATTAATGACGAATATCCCGAATAGTTGGAAGGGGGTGGCGGGTGAGTATTCGTGAGAGTGAGCGGGCGTTTCCACCATCAGCGGTCATAGTACTGTACACCGACATCATATTGGTGAAGAAATTGTTTGGTAACGATTTAGCTGGCAGATATTCATATGTTTCCCTTACTACATAGCACCATCTGATGGGTTACATGTCTGTAGTAGCAGCCTGCTAATACTGAAGGATAATATTCAAAAGTTGTCTTTTAATTAAACACATGTACAACATGTTTAAACAAAGACACTTCAAGTTTGAAGTTTGGTGTTGTTTTAAATTATGACACCAAGATTTTCATTTTTACCAAAAATGTACTCGTGTATTGGTTCCAAATAACAGTCTCCATTGGTCTCCTAATAGTTAGTAACGGCCAGTCAACCCCTACTGATTGTGAGTTAAAACAAACAGAAAAAATCAACATATTTTGTGAGACCATTGTATTATTTCTATGCAGAATGCTAATTTTAAAGTATTTATAGCTGCTGGACAAATGTAATAGAAACAAAACAGAAAAAACAAAGAAACGATATTTTGCTTTGAAATTCCAAGTATGAAGTGGTATTAAATGAAAATACTAACGCAAATTTACCTAAAAACACTCAGAAACAACAGAAAAACTAAATTTGTCCTTATGGTACTACAACCAAAAAAGTATTGTAGTTGAGTAAATGTACTGAGTTACATTCCAAATGAGGATTTTCACTAAATTAGCCAATACAGAACTCACAGACCTATAAAGATATATAAAGCTGGCACAAGCAGAGACTGCGGATTACATAAAAACAAAACCATTAGTTCATTGAATAAACTGTAAAGTGCGCATTTTATTTCATCTAATTCTTATAGATTGTCTGATGGGTATTCTTGTACAACAAACATAGAGAAAAATGGCCCAGAACAGCACATATAGCATTTTTTCCAATGATAGGTTGATGCAAAAACCTTAAGACACTAAGACCTTTGCCCTTTGACCTCCTGGAGTCTTTGTGTAGTGCCCTTATTTCCAATAAATCAATAATATAATGGAGAGGAAAGTATTGATTGATACAACCTGCCAAGTTGCTTACATCTAGGCTGCACATTATGTCAGCACTGATGGTTAATGGAGCGAATGCATCACTGTAGATTTAGTCTGTGCAGCTCTGTCATTGATCAGCAGTGATGCTCAAAACAACCTCCAGGAAAACAAAGATCCCTCTCCCTGTCAGAGCGTTTAAGAACCACATTCTTCCACGTAGAAGGAAAACGGTGCACGTGAGCAGGAATTAATGCGTCTCATACATCATCTCCATGCGTAGGTGGTGGCTGACCTTTGAATAAACCAGTTACCGTCCAGGACAGCACCACATGCTGCTCATTCAGTCCACTCCAGTTCAGTGGCTTCTCTTCATCGTTCTCAGTTCAAGCCAAACTGTGGTTAGACAAGCCGCGCTGCAGGAAGCTGATTTAGATCAGCGGTTTCCAAGACAAGAAAATCTAAATTAAGTTCATTTTTTTTCCCCGACTTTGCTGTGTTTTGCTTTTTTTTTTAGTGAAACAATGTCCACATTTAGCTCTTCAAGCCTCTTCAAATAATGTAGAGAAGGAAAAGCCTCCTTCTGGTTGCTCATGGCTCATGCCCACAATCAAGCCTTGACCTTTGATAAAGGGTCACAAGAAGCTTTATTTTAAAGTGTCAAAAGTCACAAAGGTTGGAAAGTATCTGTTTAGAGGACACTGCCCCCTCATGTTGAATTCAAGTGGTTTGGCTTGTGTTACTTAAGGCCTACTATCTTATTCATGCCATTTTTTTTTCTCAATTTCTCAACTTCCATCACAGCTGACGCCAGTATGAGTCATTCACTACTTGTTACTTACTCTGGGTGCCTTGAAACGTTTAAATAGGTTGCTCGTGTAATTTACAGAACACTGTATTGACTTACTAAGGCTTTGCTAAACACAAGCCACAACCACACATGCCTAACCTCAAACTATACTTAAACCTAATCCTAAATCTAATTCTAATTTAAACTCCCCCAAAACAACAAGTTTTAATCCAAAATTGCTTCGATAATTAAGCTTGTGGGGACCAGATTTTTGTCCTCAGATGGGAGAAAAGTCCACGCAGTGTAAAAAATAGACAAGCTGAGAAACAGAAAAGACACCTACAAGAGGAGACGAGGTACAACACTTACTGGAGGAGGATATTCAACTCTACTAACACGAGGAAAAGGACGAATTATCAAAATCACACTTGCTTTTTTGGAATATAA